TTATTTTCTTCTTCCTATCTATTTGTTACATTTTTTACTTTATACTTTTTGACCTATTTATGCATTTTTGTAAATTATCTAATCATGTAATCTGTTTATATTATACCTAATTGTTTAAAAATAACTATTATACATTGAAAAAGTTAAATTGATTCAAATTTGCAAAAAACTCTGATTTTGAAGATCTGTGCTATACATCAGTGAAAAATTTGCAGAAATCTGTAAAAATTCAGATCTTCATAATTTTTTAATAAAAATCTGTGCAAAATATTGAATGCAAAATTTTACAGTTCAATTTATTATATATATTATATAAATTTGCGATAAACTCTAAAATATTAAAATCTTCAGAGTTTTTTATACAACTATTTTTTTGTTTTTACAAAGTTATTCTGAAGTTATTTTCGATTAAAATTTTAATTTATTAACTTTATTAATTCATTTCTTTTTTGGGTTTATAATACTGAAACTAAACCCTTTTTATTTAAATTATTTTTTGTCATATTTTTTTTTTTTGCAAAGTTTTTCGCTCATTTATTTTTGTTTTTTTTTGAAGTTTTTCTTGATCTTGCAAAAACTTTTAATTTTAAATATTATTTTTTTTGAAGATATTGATTTTCCTTCAAATATATTTGTATTGATTAATTTTTTTTTTGAAGATATTCAAACTTATTATTTTTTTCTTTAAAAGTATTTATTAATTTTTTTAAAAAAAATTTATCTATTTTAAAACATATATTTATTTAATAAAAACTGATTTTCTATATCAAATCGTAATACAAATATGAACAACTGTATAGTAGAGGTTCTTCTAAATCAATATTATACTAATGAACAAGAACTAGTTCATATAGTTTTTTGAATGATCTATGAAAGAATTTAAATAATAAAAGCATCTTAAAAAGGTATTAAAAAATATGATTAATGAAAACAAATTGAAACATTTTATTACCTTTAAAATTTTACTTACTTTACCATACCATGCTTCCTCATCCGATTTGTAATATTCTTGATCTTCTGCAGAGATTACCATAATGTTACTAAATCATGCTTTACTTTAGAACTCTCCTGTAGTTCTTAAGATTTCGCTATTTTCTAAATGAACTGAATCATAGACTTTAATATAAAAATCTTCTGTGCTTTCAGAATCAAGCAATTTTATATCTAAAAATATATCTAGTACCATAATTATTTGGGATAATCCTTTAATAAAATTTTAATAAGACAGATTTTCAGATTTTTTTAAAGATTTTATTTTTGAATCAATGGTATCCAAAAGTAGTTCTCAGAGAATATTGCCAAATTCTTTAGTTTTACGATGAATAATTTTTTTAGTAGATAGAATTAATTCTTTATATTTTACTTACAGAAATTGTTAGTATTAAAATATTAGTTTATTTTTACTATAATTCTAAATTACAATTTAACTCAGTATTTATTGGTTAACTAATAGCATTTACTAGTTGCTGCATAACTTCCTTTCAGTTTGATAAATGGTAAGGGTTTTTATATAATATTTATGAAGGGTTTTATATGCTTCCATTGATAGACTATTTAATACTCCATATTTTCAAATTACAGAAACTAAATAAGAAGGAAAGTAAAATACAGAATGATAATTTGCAATTTTTAATCAGAAAAAGTTTAGATCTCACCTGCATAGTATTGCTAGCTATGAAGTTTAAGAAAACTGCAATTTAATATAGACAACAAAGAGAATATCTTCGTAAACTAAGTACACTAATTAATAATTACTTCCTATTTTAATTGAAAACTTATTAATTAATTTAATGTTTGTTTAATTTTAACTTATTATTAAATATAGTTATCTTGAAAACTTTTAATTTATCTTCAGTATATAATTCTTTTCTACTTATTATATACATTCTGTCAAACTTCGTATAAAGATTGCAAAATTCAGAATAGGTTATTTTATTTTAACTGTCATAGATACCATCCAACGTAAAGAGGGTGATTTTCATTATATGTTAATAATCTGCGACAGTTACTACTTTTATTTGATTTATCTTATTTATAAATTTTAAGCCAGAAAAATATGATATGTTGCGAAAGCAATCATCAAAAACTTTTAGTAATCCTATTTCTCCAACATTCTTCAAAAACTTTTGCATGAATTTTAGCTGATATTTAAAGAAACTAAGATCAATATGATGCATGTGATCAGGAATATATGCTTCATAAATATTTAGGTTGCTGCAAAAAATAAATAATTTAATTAATTTGTAATTATTTTTGATAATTTTAAATAGTAATTAATATTTACGAAAATCTTTAAAATGCATTTTTTGTAGAATTTATAGAGTAATCTCTTTCTTAATTAGCATTATTTACTTGCTGTATGCTTTCATATGTTTTGAGAGAAGCTAGCTTTAAGTTTATCTTATTTAGATCATCTCGCAAAACTGTATAAGTATAACATAGCATTTTACAATATGCTGACTTATATGTAGTAGTTATATCATCAGCCTTAAACATATCTGCAAGAAAATATGAAATTTGGGCAGCAAATAACATTACTTATCCTTTAATTCTAAAATACAGAGCATCAGGTCTTTTTAATAATGGTTAAAACATAATGATAAAATATTTGTAATAAATTTCACATTGAAAACTTTGAAAAGAATCAGTTATTTTAATTTCTAAATCCTAAACTTTAGGTAAAAATCCCAAAAGAACTTTCGATTCTAGAATATTTTGAAGCCAATTCAAAAGATTTTCAAGTGTCAAAAAAACTGGATGCTCTAATATTTTTTCAAGTCTGTCAAAAGTTGTAACGTCTGAATATAAAATAATAGTTACTTTTACTTTTAAAAAAAAATAATTATCTTTCAAAATAAGTCTTATTATTAAGAATTTTGTTGTCTATTATAAGTTGTATAATGACTAGGATAACTAGTAATTTGAATGCTTTTTTTATTTTTAGGAATTTAAATTTAAATTTAAAAATCAAGTTTAATAATTAGATATTATTATAATAATTGATTTCTTTTATATTTATTTCTTTTAATATAAAGTATATACAGTACATTTATATATTTACTAGAGTGATTGTATGTAAGAAAATACTCAAATTCAAAGCTATTAATGAGTACCTCTATACTATAATTGCTTTAGCAAATCTATGCTATATATTATTATTAATGCTATTATTATTTTCATTTTTTATTTTCTTTATAAATCTATTTTTTTTATAATTTTGATAGTTGTTTTCCATATATAATTTTTTTCAGAAAAGTTCTTTAATATAGAAGTAATAACATCTTTTCTTATGTAATTAAATAGTTATTTTATCTAGTTTTTTTATAGCTTGCCTTATTTAACAGCTATAAATTATATAGAATTTTAGTAATATATTCATAATTATTATAATAATAAAAGTTATATTATGTAAATCATTTAAATCATTTTATTAATATTTATTAAATTTTTTAAATAATTAAATTTCTTGAATTTTTAATAAAAATATCTTGAAGTTTCTAATTTTTAGTAGAAAAAGGTAAATTTAAAATATTTGTAATATTAATTTTAAATTTTTTTTTACTTAAAAAATTCAGATTTGATTAGTAAATTATTTTAATTAAATGTTTTATTATCATTTAAATTTTTAAGTTAGGTTGTATTATAAATTTAATTAGAATTATAATATATCAAATTATAATTTGATTAATAAAATTAATCAGAATTATAATATAATTTAGTTAAATTTATATAATTATAATTTATTTGAATTTAAATTAGATTAGATATCTCTATTAAGTTCAAAACTAATAGTTTATTATTAGGAATTAGACAAGGTTTAATTCTAATACTAAAGTTAATTATTAGAAAAAAAACTAATTAATATTGTTGTTTAAAGTATAGTAAAGGATAATAGATATATCAAATATAATATCATTCTATCTATATATTAATTATCCAATAGAATTTTGTGTTGCTAATATTATATTACACATAGTTTACAAAAATTAAATACTAAAAATATTAAATATAATAAAAAATTGAACATAAATTAATAAATTATAATTTTTATTATAAGCCCTGTATCTGAAATTATACTATAAAATTAAAATGTTTACTATTTTCTATATTTATTTAAAATAATTGAGAATTTATATTTTTTTATAATAAAATTTTAATCATAATAAAAATAGATAAATCATTCATTTTAATTTGCATTTTTAAATCACTAACTTTTCAAATTATTTATTGATAATAAAAAAATTAATTTCTTAAATATCAATTTGATTCTTTTCTTAACATTTATATTAAATATTTAATTTTAATAAAAATGATTCATATTAATAATTAATTAAAATTATTAATTAAAGGTGTAATTTAATATTTCTTTATATTTATTATTAAAAAGTCATTAACTTCCAATTTAAAATTATTTAAATTGATTAATATTTCTTAATAAAAGAATATATGTCAATAGAATTTTATATTTAATTTTGATATTTGATTATTGAAATTTAATTCTTATTATAATTTATCATTATCTGAAAGCATAAGATATAAAGATCACTTTTATTTCTTTTAGCGATTTTTTGTTCTTATTAGAATTATTATTTTATAATTGATAACACAAAATGTGAATATTTAATATAATTCTCATACTTATCATACATAACTTATTAGATGATGATTCACTAACTTAGTTCTAAGTGTAACCAAATCGGGGATGACAATAATTTAGATTTGTCGATCAAATAATCAAATAATCATTTGATATTACACAAACCAATCGACGAATATGACCTAATAAAATTTCGAAACGTGGCATTATTTGAAATTTATTTTAATTCCTCTCCACATCAAAAACAACCATAAAAAAAAAGAAAAAAAAAGAATAATTTACTTCGATCTTTTATCATTATTATTCTTTTGATTTTTTTATTCAAAAGTTATTTATGAGGAATTTTCGTTTAGCTGATATTTGATAAATATATTTTTTTTTATAAATTAAAAAAAATCAAATAATGTCGTCATGGATAGTTACTGTTGTCTATGTAGGAGGAATGTTAATGGTGATGAGCTTATTTTCTTATACATGGCGTAGACGAAAAGCTGGTAATAAAATTTGATTTTAATAGTAACAATCAGAACAAAAGATCCGGTTTTAAAACACAGGAAATCAAAAAAAAAAAATCTAAATTTATTTTATTTTATTTTATTTCCATGGGATATTTTTAGCATCAGCGATTCTTGTACCGTGGTTTCCCGATCACACAACTCGAGATACTTATATTTCTCTATTACAACAAACTGATCCTCCAGCTACCGAATTACAACTAAGAGCTGCGTTATTACGTAGAGCTATGACAAATGTTGAAAGAATAATTAAACTTAGGGAGAATCGTCCAGCTCTTCTTTCTTTAGTACAAAAAGGTGCTGTGGGTGATGGATTATGGAGTTCTTTTCAAAAAGCTGAACAAGAACTTCAACAAGATGTAATAGAAGTTACTCAAGAAGCTGAAACTTTTAAAAAGAATTGGGGACAAACTATTTTTCATACTGCTAACGAAATGGTTCAACATGAAAAACACAAAGAAATTGCTGATCAAATTAAAGAATTAAAAGAAAAGGAAGAAAAAAACTTTAAGAAGAGGGAGGAAAGAGAAAAATTTGAAATGGCTGAGCATGAAAAAAGAGAAAAGGCTAGGTTAGAAAAAGAAAGAAAGAAAGCCGAGGAAGAACTACTAAAAATGGAAGAATCTGAAAAGAAAAAAGGAAAAGATTCAAAGGGGAAAAGTAAAAAGAAATAGATCTTAAAGAAGGAACAATATTAAAAAAAAAAAAAAACGGAAAACAAAATCCAATGGTGCTTTATCCATGAATTTTTTTTTTTTATAATTAAAATAAAAACTTTTTATTTTTTATTTTATTCTGGTCCTTATTTTTTATTGTTATTTGTATCTTCATGATGATGTAACTTATCCTTTATCTTACCAAATGTGCTCTTGAAGAATCCATCACCACCTTCTTTAGCTTCATTTGATCGTGTTCCCTCGGTTATAGATACAAATTGTTCAATTAATTCGCGTTGTTTAGGGTCAAGTGTCCTATGAAAAACGAAGGAAAAAAGTTAATATGTGAAAATTAAAAAAGTAAATAAAATTCTTCGGAATTTTATTTCTTACTTTGGTAAAGTGACTTTAAAAGTAACGATCTGATCACCACGATAATGACTATCTATACTTGTCACACCACGCTTTTTCAAAAGGGCTTGTTGTTCAGGTTGAGTACCTGACGGAACTTTAAGTTCAACCTCTCCGTCTATTGTAGGTACATGGATATATCCACCCAACATAGCTGTATAAAATGGAACTGTTGCATCAACATGAATATGTGGTCCTAGTCGTTTAAATGTTTTATGTGGTGAAACTTGTAATCTAACATATAAGTCTCCTGGTGTTCCTTCACTGCCAAGAGGCATATCTCCTTGTTTCGGTATACGAAGTCTCATTCCATCTTCCGCCCCTGTAAGGTACGTTAGAATTTGCAAAATTAAATATATAAATCAAAATCACTAAATCTCTGCAAAAGTTTCATTTACCTGCAGGAACGGGGACTGAAACAGTCCTTCTTTCTTTCACTTGTCCTTTACCACCGCATGTTTGACATTGATTTGCCACAGATATTCTAGTACCTTTGCCACCACATTCAGAACACACACTTTGCATGTGAAATCCTGAACCCACTTGCAAAAATATTACTCCGCTGCCTTTGCATGCTTTACATGTATCCGGTTTTTTGTTTCCTTTGGTTCCCAATCCTTTGCATGATTTACATTTTGCGATCGATTCTACCATAATACTTTTCGTTACTCCCTTTACTGCTTCCATAAATGATAAGCTTAATCCTATTTCTATATCCGATCCTGTCACGAATGGTTGTCCAAACTCGGCGGATTGTCTTCCTCCTGGGCCAAATCCTCTTGCCCCTCCAAAAAATTGATTGAAAAGATCGTTGTGGCCATTGAAACCAAACCCACCAAAACCCTCAAAGTTCGCTCCGCTAGGGAATCCACCTGCTCCAGTTGGTCCACCCTCTAAATATAAAAACATCATGATTTAACAAATTATTTTTAATTTTCTATTTTCTATAGTTTTTAAGAATAACAAACCTGCAAATGATGATCCAAATTGATCATATTGTGCTCGCTTTTCTTCATCGCATAATATCTAACATAAATTAATAATCATAATGCGTGTCAAATAAAAGATATGTTTTTAGATGTCAAAGAAAAACCTATAATTTACATCATATGCTTCCTGAATTTGTACAAATTTTTCTTTCGCCGTAGGATCTTTATTTGTATCCGGGTGATACTTTTTCGCAAGCTATAATGAATTATTATAATCAATCATTGACTCCTTTAAATACCAAATTATAAAAATTATTTTACATACACCATAATATGCCTTTTTGATCTCGGCTTGGGAAGCTTTCTTGTCTACACCCAAGAGTTCATAATAATCTTTACGTTGTCTTAAAATAGCTACAACCAATTAATACGATAAAAAGCAATGAGAAATTTATTAAGATAAGATTTACAAAATTCGATTGAAGTGAATACCTGTTGCGTGAAAAGACCGCTAATAATTATTTTAAAAAAAAAATTTTTGTCAACAATTATGTTAAATGAACAAATTAAAAACTTTTTTTTACCTTTTGATTTAGTCGGAAAGTTGAATTAAATATCGGTACAGATTCTGTAAATTCGAATTGATATGACGAATATTAATAAATACTAAATGAAAAATCATTTGCAAAAAAAAAGGTTTATTTTTAAATCCTACTTGCAAATTTTGGAGGAAAAGAATTTAGAGAAAAGCCCTTATAGAGATATAGTTCCTCATTAGACAAAGTTAAATCATTACAAAAAAGGTTTATTGGATTTTTTTTATTTACGTTACTACTTATATATTTTGTGGAATCTGAAAAAAGGTAATTTATTATTGAACGTAAACGTAAAATATTAAATTTTAATGTTGCCATTATCAAGGAAAGTTAGGATCGGTTTAGATAATCAACAAAAAAAAAATTTATCTGCATCGCTCTCAATTTTGTCACAATCTTTTTTCAATTTATCACATTAAGCTATGATAATGGTCATGTGCATAATTGGTAAATGACCTCTATTCAAAAACGAAATATTAATAACTATCGTTGGTGGCCTTATTTTGAACTTTTTAATCAATATTAGAAAGTAATAAATCATAACAAACTCTATATTTGTAAAGAATGTCAAAAAGATAATGTTTAAAAATAACCAATACTAAAATGTTGTCAACGTAGAATTGACAAATGACCTCAAATGACCTTATAAAATATTTGTTAAAGCAATGTGAATTCACATTGTCAAAGATGATGAAGTTATATTAATTAGTAATGCAGTTTAATTATGAATTGAAAATAATTTGTGATTCCATATTTATATGATTTATTAGATGTGATATTTTTATATGAAATTTTCTGTTATAATAAAATATCTTTAAAATGATAAGCAAATGAGCTGTAATTAGAAATCTGTTTTGGCTGGTATAATGAACTTGGATTATAAATTCGTAAATAGTATTCTCACTTATATAATAAAGGCGTCATCTTTCCTCAATTTTATTTAAGCTGGTTTATATCTTTTATCCAAGATACAAAAACTATCTAATGTGATTTATTCATCAACTTCATCCAACACACAAGCAAAATTTTTGCATTGAATTCTAAATTCCACGAATTCCTCGATCAACGTTTCACGTTGATACGACATCTCTTCGCCACTTAAATCCAATACGATTCTTTTTCCTTGATTGGACATTTGAGTGAAAGTAGCATGTAATTCATGTAATCTCCTGAGTGTGTTGCTTTGTTGATTAATAGCCTCAACAAATTGTTGTTTTGCAGCAAACGATTTACCAAAAGCAAATCCATTTGCTACAAATATTGCTCCCTCAGTAATTCTCTGTTTAATAATACAAAACACAAACGATTAGTTAAATAAATAACTAAATAAAATTAGATACATCCTTTTCCTATTGTAACATACCTGAACTGTACTACGTGATCTGTACATTGAGAAACCATAGATTATTTCAACAGCCGCAATTCTTTAATAAATAACTTGGTTTTAATCGATAAATAATAATAAATAATAATAAATTGATTGATTGATTTTAAAGTTACTAACCCAAGATGTAGCAATGCTTTCCTTTTCGCGACTTGTTCTTCAGATTCTATTTCTTTTAAATGCTCATTACACTTGACGGATATCAATTCGATGAGTTTCATCAAATCTTCAATCGCTTTGATGAAAATTGATAAGCGTGCTACAAGATAATTGATTTTAGTATGGTAACTAGAAAACAATAATTAAATCATTTGATTCTTACATTGAAGTAAATCATATTGCTCATTAGCGAGAATAGTTAAAATATTTAAAATCAAAATATCTACGTGTTCAAGGTATGTTTTAAAGTTTGAACTTTCTACTGCCAAAATATTTTTGAATTTCTCATCGGAATCCCTGAGCACTTCACATGTTTTATTAATGACCTTAAAACTTTCAATAAGGGTCCAAAGATTAAGAATAATATTGAAATGAAAATCTGGCACCTGTTAAATGAAAAAGTGCCGATCAATATTTAACCAATAATCAAATCGTAAATGAAAAGATTTTACTTACGAATCGGTTTTCAAGAAGCATCGATTTCAAATTATTATTTTTGATAAGAGAGGCCAACTTCTTAAAGATATTTCGAATCAATCGATATTTCAATCTATGATCCATAGCAGAAATTAAAATTCCAACTCCCTCAATAATGTTCATAGTTGTAACACGTCTCGGAAACATGGAACTAAAAAGACCTTCCAACACATCAGCTGGCATATCAGATTTTGATTGAAAAAGTAATGCCATCTCTTTCAGTTTGCGTGAAAGCCATTCAACATCACCATAATCAGGTGAAATGGATTCTTCAATCAAGTTATGCTCATCTATCTGTTGTTCTTCAGTAAGATTTCCAATTAGGTTTACCGAATTTGCATTTGGATAAATCAATCGAAGTGTTATAGAATCGATAGGAACCCAATCAGAGAAACCATTTTCAGAAACGAAATACAAATCTTCTGCAGCAACGCGTAACAAATTGACAAAGTCTAAATGGGTTTGGTTGACGAAAAGAATTTTAACCTATAAAACAAATTTTAGAAAGATTGTCAGAAGGGTTATTAATACAAGGTAAGTCAATGATACAACATAACTTACCTTAAAGGAAGTGCCATCATATTCAGACACTTCAAATTCGTAAAATTTATCAAGTGAGGTCGGTATAACAATACTAGATAAAGAAATACCGTTTATGGGACCTTTTAGATTGAAAACATGAAACAAAGAAAAGTTTGTGGTTCTGGTTTCAAAGTTTTCTTCAATATATAAAAATTCGTTGTTACAAATGAGTGTAATGGGTTGACTTTGACTTTCCATTATTTCATTCAATATTCGAAAAACTTATAAATAATTAGTACCTTGAAAAATGTTCGTATACGGCGGTATTTGAGCAAAAACAAACAATCCTAAATTTCATCAATAATATTAATAATTCGGCCGACATTTGCGATTACTATTTTAGTGGGCTTTTTTGGCAAAACTTCGTTGTGTCACAAGCGCGGATAAATACACGATTAGTTGTTGAAAATTAATTCATCACGTAATTTTATTTTATTCTTAAAAAAAAAAAAATTCACTTTATAATTAGGATATTTTTTTGACTTTTAAAGGTTTCCCCCGGATAAAATGATTGTTTTTACTGTAATTTCGGGTGCGAAAAACGAAGATCCTTTATGCTATGTTGTAGAAGTAGACGACGAAGTACAAATAATGCTAGATTGTGGTTGGAACGATGAATTTAATGTCGAAGACTTGAAAAATCTGAGAAGGTTATTATAAGTTTTACTCTTTAAATAGTGTCAACCTTTTAATTTCTTTTAATGTTCTGTTCACACCAAGTCAATATTATTTCATCGTCAAACTAGAGTCGCGAAACAAGTGGATGTACTTCTACTTTCACATCCTGATTTACAGCATTTAGGAGCATATCCATATGCTTACGGACATTTTGGTCTTTCATGTCCAGTTTATGCCACATTGCCAGTTTTAAATATGGGAAAAATGTGTTTATATGATGTTTTTCAATCAAAAATAAATGAGTCAGAATTCGATACTTTTGATTTAAATACTGTTGATACTGCATTTGACCAAATTCATACGTTGAAATATTCACAGCCCATATCGTTAGGAGGTACTTTTTTTGTTTTAAATATATTATCACGTTTAGTTTTAAAATCTTTCAATGAGGTTTAACTTTTATATTTGATAGTCAAATTCAAGGGTATTACGATTACAGCGTATGCAGCAGGACACACAATAGGTGGTACAATATGGAAGATAAAAAAGGATGCTGAGGAGATTGTGTACGCTGTTGATTATAATCACAAGAAGGAAAGGCATCTTGATGGTACTGTCTTACACAAAGATGGTGTAGTTCTTGATGCTTTGAGTCGACCTACTTTAATGATAACAGACGCGTACAATTCTCTTATAGTTCATCCTGCAAGGAAACATCGTGATACTGCTTTATTTGGTAAGTAACAAAAGAATTTGTCAGAATATTTTGGTTTTTGTAATTATTTCGCTGCTGCTTTAATTTCCGCACTTCTTAATAATTTGATATTCGATAATCTAGAAACAATAATGACAACTTTACAAGATAGTGGATCAGTGTTATTACCAACAGATTCATCTGCAAGAGTTTTAGAATTGGCATATTTGTTAGATCAACATTGGGCATTTCATCAAGTTTCATATCCTCTGATATTCTTAAGTCATCAAAGTTATAATACAATAAAGTATGCAAAAAGTATGTTGGAATGGATGAGTGATGCTATCAATAGACAATTTGATAACAAAAGAGAAAATCCTTTTGAATTTAGGTTAGTTTTTCTTTTAAAAAATCTAATATTCCAAAAACAATATTATATATTATATAAATTATATAAAATTAAATTGTTAATAAAGATATATATATATTATCATCTACAATTTTCCAATTTTTTGAATGTTTTTTTTGAATGTGTTGTCATTAAATTATTAAAAGTTCAACGTAAATATCCAATATTCATCATAATTTAACTATTTTCTTCATTCACTAATCTAGATATCTTCGATTATGCACGCGTTACAAAGAATTATCAAAATATCCGGGACCTAAAGTTGTTATAGCAAGTAACGTTAGCTTAGAAACAGGATACGCTAGAGATCTATTTTTAGAATGGGGAACATCACCCGATAATGCTGTAATATTAACTGATCGGGGACCACCATATTCTTTGGCAAGAAAATTATATTACGAATGGGAGAAACGAAGTGATGAAGATACTAGCAATATCGGACCCGTGAAACCTGCTGTTTTGTTGGATTTACCTATGTCTCTTGAGGTTTTTTTTTTTTTATTAAATACTATTTTTGAATTGTGTTGTTTATTTGATCCCAATATATTTACGTGCGGTGTATCCTCTTTTAGATAAGGAAAAAGGTTCCGTTAGAAGGTCAAGAGCTTATAGATTATATAAGTGATCAACGTAAAAAGCAAGAGCGTGAAGCAGCACAAGCGGCTCTTATCGCTAAATCACGTTCTATAATTGAGGAGGATGAAACTGATGGATCAGAAAGTGAACTTGGTGATAATGATATAGAAGAATTACTTTCCACACAATTTGATCTTTATGTTAGGGATGCAACTAAACTTGGAGGTTTTTTTAAACAAACTCAAAGTTACTTAATGTTTCCATATATCGAAAAGAGGAAAAGATACGATGAGTACGGTGAAATCATCCAAGCAGATCAATTTAAAAATAAAGGAATGGAAGGATTAGGACTCATGATTGATGGTGAGAATGGCGATAGAATGGAAGGTGATAGCGATGATGATGTGAGTTGATAAGGTCAAATTCTATTGTTGAGGGTTATAAATGATTTATTTAATGGGATTTCTTTATTAGTCTGATAAAGCAGATCAATCGACTGTTGATTCAAATGTACCGACGAAATATGTATATTATGATGAAGAAATACACTTCCAATGTCAATTAAGATTTATTGATTTAGAGGGCACAAATGATGGCCGATCGTTGAAAACAATTGTGCCTCAAGTTCAACCAAGAAAATTGGTAGGTGTAATGTCATATTATTTTATGATCTATTTAATAATTTAAAAAAAGATTTCATAATTTATTTCTTATAATCATCATTCAGATAGTTGTCCACGCATCATATGAAGCAACTAAAGATTTTAAGTCGAGTTGTTCGGCTCTCCAATCAATGACACGTGACATATATACACCCGATGTCGGTGAATCATTGAATGTTTCTGAGGCCATAAATTTCTATCAAGTTAAATTAACTGATTCATTGGTCAGCTCATTAAGGCTTTCAAAGGTAACGATATAATGGTTTCACGTGATCTTCACAAGTGTTGGATAAGTCTAAATGAATTCATTTTCCAATTTTAAAATAGTTGGAAGATTACGATATTTCATTCATATCTGGAAAAATACATCTTCCCCCAGATTCGTCATTTCCCATACTTGATGTAATGCCAATTGAAGAGTATGCGGCCAGTGATAATCCTGTATTCGTAGGTGAAATTAAGCTTACAGAATTGAAACGGGTACTGCAATCGGAAGGAATTACTGCGGAATTTAAAGGTGAAGGTGTCTTGGTTTGTAACGAAAAAGTAGCCGTTAGAAAAGTGAGTGGTAATAACATAATTTTTATCGGCGGTTAAATTTTTACGTGATCAATCGACTAATATTTCAACATTCTAATGTAGACACCAACTGGACAATTAACCTTAGAAGGCTCTTTATCAGATGATTATTTTAAAATACGTTCGATAATATATGGGCAACATGCTATTTTGTAATTTTTAGATTGGATAAATTATATTAATTTATGTAGAATAGATCATAATCACAGGAACAACAACTATAGATATTTTTTTTTTTTTTTTTTGAATTCGAAAGAAAGACATTTATTATCTTGTTAAGATGATTACAAGTACATTTATCATTCAACGAGGATTTAGGTATTGAAAAACGCGTGACGTAATAAAATGAAATTAACCTAATTAAGTTATTTAAATCCACAATTACCCTCCAAAACAAAGGAAATTACTATTACTATATTACTATTATTATTATAATTATTATTTTGAAATCCCTTATTTAAGTTCCCATCAAAATTTCGTGATAAAAAGGGAATACTTATCTTCAAATCCCCAATCTCCATTAAAGGTTCCAAAATCTTGATCATCAGCGCTTGTTTCTAATTCTTTCATCAAAATCTCAATATGGTTTAACCCATTTTTTAAATGTATTAAATAAGGATTGTAGTTCGTATGAGGTTTTATTGATCTACCTTGATGGGTTATAATTAATCGAACCAACTTTGACTTTAATTTTGGTAAAATTTTAATTTTATGTACATTCGATTTTACTGTTAAACTAAAGCATTTCCTTTCAGTATCCAAAGAAATTGATAATGATTTATCCTCGGTTTCAACTATTATACCTTGTAATAATTGTGATTCACCTACTGATAAATATTATCATTTAGGATTAATTTACATTGAAAAACAACTTTTTTTTTTTTTAATTCATATTGAAATTTAATATAAGTAATGAATTTACCTTTAACTATATCTTTATTCTTGACACTTTTGATGTTTTCTGAAACGGTCACTTCTTTGTCTTTTTCTTTATTTACTTTACCTCGTTCATTAACTCTCGCTAAATTCTTTTCAATGTATTTAGCTCGTTTATTTGTTTCATTGGTTTTCTCTGCATCGTACTCATTATATTCTTCTGTTACCGTATCAGTTTCAGAATTTAAGGTCGTATCTGCTGTTGACGTATCAAAAAATTTTCTATTTTCAGTTTCTGGAGTTTGTGGTGGAGATTGTGGTGGAGGTATCGTTGTATCTGATTGTTTTTTTAATTGTTTGTTGCTACTTCTTAACGAACTACGAAGTGTTCTTTTCATTTTAATTGTGAAATAAAAATTTTTGAATTTGTGACAAATTTTAATGATTTATAACGAGTTTATATATGCGAATTGATCTGCACGGTTAAGATCGACAAATTCAATTATCGCATGTCGGAAATGCTTGATCATGTTAGATAATAAATTTATTTGCTTTGCTCCATTAAATCACGTGAGATATTATATATCAAAAAAGTATTTAAATGTTAAATGTTTATATACGTATTCTCTATTTTTTGAATTGTTCCACGATGAAATCGGCCGCCTCTCCAAAATTCTCAAAGAGACCATTTACGCCTCCATCGCGCAATTCATCTCCATTCCTATATTTGCCAGTCTTGACTGTGATATTATACATAATAATAATGATAATTACTTAATGCTTGAATTATAAAAATCAATTACAAAAGCCACAGAATAATATATTACCAAGATATCTTATCAAGCCTAATTCCCTGGCACCATCTTATAAAGGAATTTAATAAAAGGAAAAAAATATAAAAATTTCATTTTATTTATACATACCTCCTAAATCGTTTGCAACATCATCTCCAACCATAACTACTTGATTCGACTTGTCCAATAAATCCATGTCTTTGAGAGCCAATTCATAGAAACTTTTCTCTGGCTATATTACAAACAATATCATTAAAGCGAAACATTTTCAATAAAAAAAAAAAAAAAAACTCAGTAATATCAATAATAATTACTTTGCCAACAACGGTAGCCTTTACTCCACTCGCATATTCTAAGCATTCCACAAAAGGACCAGGTCCTAAACTTAATCCATCTAAAAATTTAAATATTTAGTCATCGTCAAAAAGGATTTTAAAGATTTTTTTTTTTTTAAAAAAAAAAAGATATTACCTTGCTCAGCAAAATATTTTGCTTTGTGAATAGCAATAAAAGTTGTATTTTTATTGCTAATTAGGATTCTAAAAGCCTTGTTTAACTGAAAATTCACAGGATAAGTATGTTTAGCTAGCCTAATTTGAAAACGAATTCGATTGTTTAAAAATTTAAAAATGTATTAACCATATCGTATTGAAAATTTGATGGAGATAAGCCTACAACGACGGCATCATTTGGTTCTCCTGTTGGGATTCCTTGAAAATCTTCAAGAGCTGCATCTTCAAGAAACAATAATGGTCTATACATATAATAATGTTATTTTCTAAAAAAAAAAAAAAAAAAAAAGATAAACATAAAACACCTCTCGAAAATAGAATTCATTTACCTTAATTCGCGAGATAAAACTATATTACGACATGCAATTAATGAAGTGAATATCTTTCCTCAAAAATGTATAAAGTTAATAAAATAAAGAAATCATCAAATTATGAAAAATTATAAATTACCTCGCGTCTGTGAACCTCAAATCCTAAATTCATCAATCGATTTTCTAATTTTATGACACTCTCTTTAGTTGTATTAGTGCAGAATCGAATCTAATAAGTAATGAATATGTCAGAAATAAATACGTTAATGAGAGAGAGAGAAAAAGGTATAACTTACAGGTATATCAACTTGTCGAAGTTTCTTTAAGCCAGCGATGGCTCCTTCGCAAGCCTACAAGTCATAAGTAATATAGCTGTTATAATAAAATTTAAAAAGAAGCTTTATATTATTAATAACACGCAACCTTATTGCCAACATGTAATGTGCCTGATAAATCTATCAATACACCTCGAATAGTAGCAGCCATTCGAAAAAAAAAAATTGAACCGATTAGATTTTCGAGTTACAGAATTTTATTGGTAGATAAATTTTTGTTAATCGAAAAAACTATGCTGAAAATTATATAATAAATAAAATTTTCAAACGATACGCATAGCAAGAAATAAAATAAGATCAAAAGAGAATCAGCCGCGAATAAAAGTTTGTCGTTATCATTTTTTCTAGATATATTTTTTATATTTTTTTATTTCAGAGTTTTCTTGCATAGATCATTTTATTTTTAAAGTTTATCAACTATAGAGGACATATATGAGGATGGATGTTATGTCTCAAAGTCACCACGTAAATGTCCTATGGCGAATTACTCACGGAAGATTATTGTGAGAGATCACTTGTTCCTGTCACTAAAATATATTTTACAAGCAAAATCTAGAATAAAATAATTAAAATACGCTACCTGTTTCGCAACAGATAAAGTGACAGTAAACTCCCGTGCATTTGGAAAAATTAGACCAATGCTTTTATGAATGTAGAGGTTCATCCAACTTTTCCGCAAAAATTTTAAGGTATACTTATCCCAAGCTAGTGTTGTTAAATCGAAGCCGATCACCCACCCCTTTGCCCCTCCTCTTTATACTATGAGGCTGATAACTATTACGAATTCGCGCCGATTAACAACACTATCCCAAGCCAACTTCCCGCAAAAAAGGTATATAACATGCTAGAAGTTATGCTGTGAACGAAGTAATTTCTCACTATGGGGTCTTTGCATTCCAGTAAAACGAAATATGACCAATGTCACTCTCAGATTCAGCAACAGCTACCACCCGTTCAGAAATGTTTCATTTTCTTCATCCTGGACCTGTAAGAACTATAAGTCCAGTTACTGGAATTATAAGTCCAATGGTCTAGTTTTATAAGTCCAGTTAGTCTAATTTGGTCCAGTTGGCCAACACTGAATACACTGTATAAGTATCACTTCCTAGAAACTTCGAAGGAAGAAAACTGATTGGCGTCTGGTCTGCAAATGTATATTCTTGTCCTTTAACCTACTTTATAATTCCTTTTCAGTGCTGAAGTGGATATGTCCATATGGGTTATCAAGAGACTTAAGAACATGTAAGAAGTGAGTTGAAAATTTCGTTGCAACAAAGTCCTTAATATCTTTGCCACTTTTTCCCGTTAGATTTCCTCCTACAAGACTGAATGGGTTAAAGGACAGCAGGGTTTCTTTCGTTTTCGCGAATTCTAAAATTAAAATAAAAAAAGTGCAAGTGTGAGAAAAGTAATTATATAATGCAAAAAATGTAAAGCGTAAGCATGAGCGTGAACGTGTACTTCCAGGAATCCATTTCTATGTTAGTTACGAAGGGAGATACATAACCGATTCCTCCTTCAGAATCGATAGACCTTCAACATAGAAACTTCCTTTTCAAGTATCTTTATGAGATATATAAGCGTTATTGTCTCGACCTTTAAAAAATATTTTATCTATTAGGTATAATATATAGAAATTATTAAAAGTCCGCAAGGAAACTATAATCATGATTCATGGTTTTTTAAGCACTAACGCGTACGCGTTTACGTGTAGTCGTCATAATGATTATGATGCGTTTTTTTTTTGTGCTGTAATTTTTATGGAGTTTTTGTGCATTTTTTACCATATCGGGAAGTTCATAACACTGGTCAGAATTAATTAGCAATAAAAACGCAAAAAAAAATTCAAAAATCAATTCGATAACGCGTTGATGTGCTAAATTATAATTAGCATGTCTTCCGAATCGACCGAACAACCACCGAAGTATACTTACACCCCGTTTCCACAAACGACCACCGTTCATCCTCTTCGACCTTACCATGTGCCTCAAGATACCGATCATTATTATACACCTTTTGGTAATGCTACTAATTCAAAAGAAGATCGCAATGACGACATGACAGATATGGATTCTCAGAGTACATTAAAGGAAATGGCAAGCTTTGGTTTCGTGAAATATCTTAGTGTAGCTATTTCACATCCATTTGAGGTTGCAAAGACTTTATTACAAATTCAATATTTGCCGAACGAAGATGTTATAGACATACCAGAGGTCACACTTGGTACTAATGGTTCAGAGGAAGATGTAATTGTAATCCAATTTGTCTTTCGAACCTCGTTTATGCATCAATTTAATAACAATTATTTACAATATAGGTTGATGAGGACGAGGACGATGAATTCAGTGCTAGATCATCACAATCTCTTGATCCAAGTTCTCCTGGATTTCGTAAAACTAAATCATCAGATAGTCAAGGTTATCTAACTACCAATGTTTATGATGAATCAACGCGACCAAAGTATATGCTGCCTCCATTGAAAAATGGTGTATGGTCAACTTTAGGGACATTGAAAAATCATAATACTGAGGGATTTGGTTCACTTTGGAAAGGTAAATTTCATGATTCACACTTTTAATTTCACTTTAAATTTCACTTTAAATTTGTTTTCAAGAATTCAGCTTATAATTTGCTGTGAATTTTTAATCCAAAGGCCAACTTGTGAGCTGGCTTTACGATATGGGTCATCTTTTCCTCCAACCTACATTGGAAAGTGCGTTGAACGATGCTTTCGATCTGTATGATGATACGATCCCATTGATCTATTTGGATCATGTCGGACCCAACATTGCCACATTAGTAACCAGTCATCTCGTGGTTGGAGTACTTTTAAGTCCTTTAGAAGTTGTGCAAACGAGGTAAGTTTAAAGTTTTACCTTCCTTTTATGTAACGTTTAGAGTATTAAACTTGTTTTTATGTATTTTTGTTAGGCTCATTGTTCAAACATCCTCGCCAATTCATAAAAAATATAGTGGGACATTTGATTGTTTACGCAAAATGATTAAAGAAGAAGGATTATCTTCTTTGTATTGGTCACATAACCTTTTACCATCCATAATCTATCATACCATCTGTCCATTATTGGAATGTACGGTGCCATTAATTATAGATCGTGTATTTCATATTTCTCCATCTGATTCTCCCTTTTTATATGGACTTGCACAACTTGGACTCGATACACTTCAGTTGCTTATAACTTTACCCCTTCAGACTATTCGTAAGAGATTACAATGTCAAATTCGATCTCGTACTCCCGGAAAATCATTTGAAACTATTGTTCAGACGCGTAAAGCTCCATATATTGGCATGTTAGACGCGATTTATAGAATAATTATTGAGGAAGGTGTTAGTCAAAGATATGTACCCATGCGTGGAAGCTCACAGAAACGACGTGGACAGCGTGGTTTATTAGATAGTTATGGAATTCGAGGATTATATCATGGATTCTACATTCATTTTACTACCAACGTGACGACATTTTTATTTCGAGCCATGAATGGCGTTGAAGATGAATTTGAAAAATATTAAAAAATAGTTTTATTTATTGATCGAGTGACTAATGTATTTTGACTTATTATTTTAAAATATAATTTAACGTTTCAAAAAAATGAAGAAATTATTTTTAATGTTTATTTCCAAAGAAAAAAAAAAATATTATTTTCACAAAAGTATCTATACATATTTAACGAAATTATTAGTAAAAAAAAAAAAAAAAAATGAACCCCAAAAAAGATAGTAATTTACAGCAGAACAAATTATGTACATAAATGATAATTTTACAAGTCATCTTTAATAACCAAAACAATTGGCACATGATCACTTGCTCCGTACGCATGTAACCGAATTTCACTTTCGACGACTCTGTTCAAGATCCTTTCGCTAACAACATGATAATCTAAACGCCAACCAATAATTTTAGAACGACACTGGAAACGATAAGAGAAATAAGTATAGTGCCTTAAAGTATTTGGATGGAAATGTCTCCAAGTATCTACAAATTTGTTCTTTCCTTCATTCAAGATTCTGTCGAAATCCCTCCGTTCTTCTGGTGTAAAACCTGGAGTCCTATAATGGTAATAAATGACAATAAGTTAATCATATAAAGTTTTAAGTTTACACGAAGCCATAACATTTGTTTATTTTTTATTTTACTTCTTATTAGTTTCAGGTCTCGCTAAGTCGATTGGTTTATGTGCGACATTCAAATCTCTACAAAATTTAAAATTTATTATTGATTATTAAAAGTCAAGTATGATATATAAACTTATTTAAATAACTACCCAGCCCAAATAACTGGTTTTTTTTCATCAAGTTGTTTCAAATATTTTTCCATAGCTTCATCCCAAATGATTTTTTCTTTCAACCTTACGAGTTTCTCTCCCGCATTAGGAACATAACATGCTACATAATATAATGTCTCAAATTCTAACGTAATAACTCGTCCCTCAGTAACTTTGGGATCGGGATGCGTAGAAAGACCAAATGAAACAGAAATTGGGTTGATCTTCGAAAAAACAACTGTTCCAGCTAAAAAAATGAAATGTCACGTTAAAAAATTTTGAAATGAATTTATTTGTGTATCATTCCTAACATACCGTATCCTTTTTTCTCTTCAAAACCCCACCAACGATATTTATATTTCTGATGATCAACAACTCCTTCAAGTTCTGTATTGACTTTCGTCTCTTGAAGACACAAAATATCAGCGTCTTCTGCTTCAACATAAGTTTTAAAACCCTATTACATTATAATAATTTTAATATATGCTAATAAATCGGTAAATAGGATTTTCAAAATAATACTAAAAGTATAAACGCGTTTAAACCTTTTTCAAAGCAGATTTTAACCCGCTAACGTTCCAAGAAGCGAATTTTATAGTTCCCTCACGTTTTTCAAAAGAAAAACTTTCCGGCATTTTAGTGTTAGTAGGTATTGGAGTTTGCTCTTCTTTCTTGGCTTTCTTGGTTGGACGCGTACTACTTTCTGAAGAACTATCACCATGACTATTACTTCCCTCTTCTTCTTGTCCCAAAATCTTTTCGCTTATTTCAGTACTTTGATGTTTTCGTGTCATGTTTCTAACTAATGGTCGAAGTATAGTTTGAACCAACGCGATATTTAAACGATAAGTGTAAGTTAGCATTAGGGTGATGCGAATTGCCTTTTTATTAGTAGGCTGACGTTAGCTTAATTTCTGCTTAATTTGTTATCCTTACAATTTAATTTTACCAATCAGTTAATCTCATAATTGATACTTTAAATACTTTTATATAAAATATTTTATAATAATATTTTTATTAATACAATCTATAATCTAGCTAATATTTAAAACGTAAATTTATTGGTATTTATTTAATTCAATTTACTAAAAATTTTGACTTTACATATTATTATTTTATAATTAGACAAATTAAAATAAAATTTAGTTTAAATTAGTGATACCTGCCTAAATTATTTTTATCATGACTAAACTTTCGTCAAATTTTGTGTCCGACTAAACCTCTGATTTAAGTCTAAATCTTTTACTAAACTTTTAGCAAATGAACTAAATAACTAAATTGCTTTATAATATATAAATTATAAATTTTTATTTATTTATCTTTATTAAAGAATATACTATTATTAATCTTTTATTATTTATTATTAATTAAATATATAATCAAAAAAATATTGCTAATTAACATCATAAATAATAAGGGAAGTTTGCTACTAAAATTAAGACCTTATTATATAAAACTAAAATGCAATAAAATCAAAATTTTGTTAAATAGAATCCAATTTTCTTAGTAAACTTCTCATATAGTAAACAAAATATAATAAATAGTCTTTTATTTACAAAAATTCTAAATTTTTAGAATTTATAGTAAAATAAAATATTATTAAAAATTGTGAGTTAAAATCCATAAAAACATCCATAAAAAAATCTATAGAAATAAAGTTTTGGCATTTTGGCATTTTAATTATTAAAGACTAAATAGTTTCAGTTTCATCATATGATTAAATATTTCAGTTTTACCTAGCATTATTAACTTAAATCTTTATACTTTAAAAGAAAATTAACTAATTACTTTTTAAAATTTTGATAAATACAATCTAAATGTTATTTTGATATTTAATAATTAGTTTTTTAAATTATTTATAATTACATAATATAGAAGAATAAGTAAAAGTTAATTTTAAAGTTAGAATTTAATAGAGTATAAGATATATTATTTATTTTAATTAATATAATAAAAAAGTATTCATGTTTTATATTATATAAATATTTTAATAAATTAAAATTAAATATTTGATTAATATTTATTTATTTTTTAATTTTATCTTTTTTATAATTATAATATTAAATATATAAATATAATTATAATTTTTAACTATTAAAATTTATTTTATTGTAAAAATAAAGATAATTTAATTTTCTAAAAAAATTTGTATAATATAAAGTATTGATAATACTTATTTGTTATTTAATCAAATAAACTTATTATATATTAATATTTAATTTACTTCTCAATATTTATTATTTTTAATATTTATAACTAATAAATAATTAATTGTAATAATATTGTAATATTATTTTTTATAAAAAATCTTTTTAATATTAATGTAAGTAAATAAATATTTTTTGTAATAAATTTTTTAATTACATATTTTTTTTAAATATTTTTATATATGTATATATAAACTTAATAAATATTAAGTAAACTACAATATATAATATATTAAGTAATAAAAACTGTTAGAGTATCTGAAGTGTTTAAATTAGTTGATTAATTATACTTAAATTTTAGCTAATTACAAATTGATATTATGTTTATCACATAATCTAATAGATTACTTGTAAGGCATATATCATATGCATAGTTTTAGCTCTAATTTAAAGTGTCCTATACTATTAGCAAAATAATTAACTAATAATAATAAAATTACATGAATAACGTAGTATAACAATTTTTTAATCTAAAATTTTAAAAATACTGAGGATTCTACAAATTCTAAAAATATAGAAGATTTATATAATTTTGATCTTATAAATACTAATAATAACCTTAATTATATAGATTAAATAGAATTTAAAAATACTCAACTTAATGCTTATTCTTAATATTTTACTTTTATTATTATTTTATTTTATTACATATTTTTATTATTTTATTACTTTTAGTTTATTTAGTTTACTTATATTTTATCTATCAAAATAGTTAATTTATAGTGTAATAATTAGTTTATTATAACAAATAATTTTGTATAAATAAATAGACTTTTTGTTTATGTTGTAAATTAACTTTTTTGCAAATTTTGAAATACAAATTTCAATATTAATAAAGAAATCAATTAAAAGTTATATCTTTCTGTCTTTTTGTATTTTTATATAGCTTAATACAATCTCTATACATTATTTATAATTTAGTTTGTCATCTAATTTTTTAATTAAAATTGTTTATAATCTCATTTTTCAAATCTTTATACTTGTTAGATTATTTAAGTTTAATATGTAAATTTAGTAAGAAATTTTATATAAAAATTTAATAATGTAATTAATATGAGTTAAAAATTTTATGATAATAATACTTACACTTTAGACAATAAATATTAAATTTTTTAATTTTTGATTTTTATTAAATAAAATATATATATATTAAATAAATTATGTATATATTGTCACTAGGTTCATTTTTGGTTATCTTAACATCTAAGTTGAGAGACTGTGATAACTGATTCTACACATTAGAGTTTCTAACCTTAGGATTTTCTTTAAGTCCTACAGATATCTGTTATATTTGAATCAACTTAGTAATTCATTATATCTTAGAACTTAAAATATATTTAATCAAACTCATAATATTAAACTCAATAGCAAGTTAGTATAGGGTATTATAACAAATTTTAGATAAAGAACAACATTAAATAGAAAAGTTGATTATGTGTAGATTTAAATTAATTCCTTTATTTATAACTTAAAACTTGCAAAAGAGTTAATTTACAACTTAAGCAAAAAGCAGATTTTTATTTATACAAAATTAATTTACTACAATTAACTACTTACTATACTATAAATTAACTAAATATAGATATATATTTCAATAAAAATATACTTAAATATAATAAAATAATAAAAATAATATAAACTATAAAAGTAATAAAAATAAATTACAGATGTTAAAAAAATTACAGACAAAACAGAATAAACAGACTGTATAGAAAATACAAAAAAAATAAAAAAAATAGGTAAAATAAAAATTATTATTGATCACTATTCGATACAGTAGTGATATCACTTAATATGAGATCATTATTAATTGACAGATTCCACATAATATTTGAAGTTGTAATTTCTTCTGTTAATAATATAGATACTTTCCAATAAAAAGAAAATTATCAAAAAACTTTTCTTTTATAAGTTAAATATTATTTTTTAGTAAAATAAATTCAGATTTAATATTAACTTAAAAAAAATTTTTGGTAGTTTTCTTTCTTTATATTGCAAATATTCATATAATAAAAAAGTAAATAAAATAAATAAATATATATAATAAATTATAATAAATAAAATATATATTTAAATAATATAATATACATACAGTTATCTCTTTTATAGTCATACTCTTCAAAACTAAAATAAAAAGTATGATTATAATAAAAAGTTACTATATAGAGGAATTTTTATATGTTATTACTAAATATTAATTTTGAAAGAATGAGACTATAAAAATACTATGATTATAAATTAATTTTTTTATATAGTATTAATAGGTATTAGTTCTTACGAAATGTGTACTTATAATGAGAGATTTATATAATGTGATTGTACAAGAAGTAACTATAAAGGAAAATGACTGTATATTATATTCTCTTTAATATTTTTTTCTTTATAAGTTTTATTATTATAATTAATTTATTTATATATTTATATTTATATTTTTAGTATTAAATTTTTTTAAAATATTCTTAGTTTTTCTTAACTTAAGATGATTATTTGATTTTTATAAAATAGAATTTCAAATCTTTATAATATTATTATTTTAAATATTAAATTCTTTTTATTTTTTAAAAATTTTTATTATAATATTCTTTATTAAATTAATTAAAAAGTTTGAAAATTTTATAATAAATATTCTTATTATTTTAAATAATATCAACTATTATTTTTGAATTTCTGTTTTTTTAAATAACTTTAGTTATTTATTATTATTATTATTATATTTAATTTTTTTTAATTTAATAAATATTGAAATTTAATTATTATAAAATTAAGTTGATAATAAATATGTATTTAAAGAAATAATAACAAATTCATAATTTAATATATTGATTTTATAATTAATTTATAATTAATATAAAAATTTATTATTTAATAAAAATAATAGCATAGATATTATAGGATCTAAATATCATATATATATAAATAAAAAGGTTATTATATTTTTAGATTTATTAAATATATAATTTTCAAACTCCAAAAAATAGTTATAGTAATTTTAAAAAATAATTTAATATTCTTATTAATATTTCTCATTTAATTTAATAAATACCTAAAACAAATTAATATTTTAATAATATTTTTATTAATAATTAACTAATTATATAATCAAAATTTATTATATAATATTTATATTTACTTAAAAAATATAAGTTTGAATTCGATTTCTATATATATAATAATAATAGTTTAAACTTAATTTACTTTTTCTATTGTTTTTAATAATATTTAAATTAAGAATTTATTTAACTATTTTATTATAAGTTAAATATAGATTTTGATATATTTTAAAACCTTAATTATAATAATTTACTTTCAATTTACTAATTTATAATAATTCTTTTTTTCTAATATTAATAGGTAACAGAAATTATTAGAAAGTTCAAAGTGATAAATATAATTAACATAAATGATTTAATTAATCAGTAAAAAAGTATACAATTATATGCTTAACAAATAAATATAGTAAATAAATCACATTGACTCAAATAATAAGCAGGTAGATAGATTGACAAATTTATTAAGTTATATAGTAGGAGTATTCAAAATTGGTTGATGTAAAATTTGATACACTTGTGATTAACCAATTAATTATTATTTTTTAGTATATAAAATTAAATAAAATCAATATATATTTTATGAAATCATATTTTTAAAAATAATGATTTTACAAATTTGGTTAAATAACCATTTTATGATTAACTACTTAGACTGTTAAAATTTTACATTAACTACACCTGCTAGTTTGCTGATGCATTTGATACAAATCTGATATAAATTTCAGCCAATCATATTTCTTAAAATTTTACATCAAAATTTGCATTAACTGATTTTAAATACTCCTAGTATTTAATAGTTTTCTACTTATATCAATAAATGTATTAATTAGATATACAGTCAACTTTTGATATAGTAAACTCTTGATATAACAAATTTTTTGAACAAATATAATAAAAATACTCTTGTTATAGTGAATTGACCAATCAAATTTCTTAAAATTTTCACTAAAGCCTTATAGAGAAGTTGAGGTCTAGGACATAAAGTTCGTTATAACAAGATTTGACTGTATTTATTTTTATTTAAAATTTACTTTGTGTATCATGTATTTATAAATAGAACTAGTTTTAATTAAAAAAAACATCAAAATGTAATAAATTTCACATTTTAAATTATTTTAATATATCAGTTTAACTTTCAAATAATAAACTGATTTTTTTACAATAATTCAATTTTAATCAAATACAACTTAACAGAAAATTCTTAATAAGGTAAATATAATAGCTTTTATTTTATATCTCTATAATCAGTATTTTGTAAAATATTTGTATTTATATATTTTAATGTTAATCAAAAAGTCAAAAATTGTATTTGATTGTTTTATAAATAATTTCTTAATGCATTTCTAAAAAGTTTGAAGAATAATATTCTAGATAGGATAGAAAAATTATTTATCAAATTGTTAGTTCAAGAGTTATTAAATTTTTAAAAAAAAAAAATAATAAATTTTTTGATATTAAAATACGTTTTTTTTCAAGGTAGTGTATTTACATAAAGATTAAGGTTTGCCTTTTAAAACTTTTATTAAAAAGATCTTTTAATTATAAATAATTCTACAAAGTATTTCATCTTTATTGAATATAAAATAATAATAGACAAACCTTTATATAATAAATAATGAAAATTCGAATTATAATACAATATAATAAATAATAGGTAAATATAATAAAAATGAAAAAATTATGCAAAAAATAATGTAGTAACTTAATATCAGTAATTTGTATGCCTTCTGTTGAACTATTTCTATTTTCTTGTAATGTAAAAAATCTTTCATAAAATTACTAAAATTAGAATCAAACTTTTTTCAATTGTTTTGGTAAGTTTTAACTTATGATTCTAATACAATGTACATAAAAAGCATCAGAAAATTGTACTATAATTACTTAATCGCAAGATTATTATCAGTTACTAAAACTTTTAGTTATATACTGGTTGCTTCTATATTGATTAACTCATTATATGAAAGCTGTATTTCATCATTCAAAATTACCTGAACTATGATTTATATCTTTAAATTATTATTTAAAGTGATAATAGATAATAATTATAACAGTTAATTTTACAAGTATTATTATGCATAATAACATGAAATTTCTTTTAATAATCCTATATTTTATTCACTTAGTATTGCTTTTTTGTTTTGACTTTTCTCAATTTTATATTGTTGCATTTATATAAACGTTAAAATTAAAATTAAATATATATATAATAGAAATTATCAGGTAATACTTGAGAAATACGAAACAATACTGCGCCAAAGAACATCAAATCAGCTTTTTTAACATTAAAATGGTGTCCCGTAACTTTTTTTTTTAAAAAAAAAAAAAAGTTAAACAGAGCGTCAAAATTCCCTCCGACACGATTTTTTTTTTTTAAAAACCCCCTTTTTTTAGGAAAACTTAACGCAAAATAAAAAAGTATTTTGACTTCGGATTTAACAAATTTTTGATGAAAATCCAATAAATTACTACGGCTAACTTAACCATATCGGGTATTTTTTGATATACCAGATGAAGTTAAATGACGTTATTTCTGAATTTTTGAGGTATTGAAAATTCGGGAATTTAAACTTATCAATTGCTACAATTCTAATCTTTTATGGATAAGAAGGATTAGTCAAATGATTAAGATCATTCGCTGAAATTTATTTGGTCGTGCCAAATTGAAACCCTGAAAAACTAAATGTTTAAAAATGAAAGCCGGCTTTAATTATGAGATTGGCGTAGTTATATCACAACTAAACTGATTTATATAAATACGATGATTATCCATAAAAATAAGTTGATCAATTTTTTTTAATTTTATCTCGTAAAAAAAAAAATGTCAGATACAGGTAAATAATCACTTTTAATTTTTAATTTCGATTTTATAATATCAAATAATTTATCATATCTTGTATTATATTTTTATTTTTTATAAGTGCTTTCAACATTAGATCGTCTTAAAATTGCATTTTCAAATCTTGAAAATATTTCGCCACATAAAATACGTTCACCATTATCTCAACCTCGTAGAGCGAGTATAGCAATGATTATTCGTATTAGACCTAAAAATTCATCGTATGAACATGATAAACTTAAATCCTCTGAATCTTCTTCAAATATATCTTCGCAAATTGAAGATAATAATAATAATGACAACGATTCAATAACAGATTTAGAAGATTTTTGGGAAATGGAGTGGGTAAAAAATGGTGAACCAGAAATCTTTTACATTAAAAGGGCTTTAAGGGAAGGTGATCGATGGAGCGGTCAAATGGCTTTCCCTGGCGGTAAGCAAGATACTAATGATGTTGATGATTTAGATACAGCTGAAAGAGAGACATTCGAGGAGGGTAAAGTAATATTATGAATTTCTTTATTATAATCATATTGATTTTCATCATATATGATCATCATCTAAAATCCAACATATTCATTCATTTTTTATTATTAGTTGGTTTAGATCTTGGTAATCATAAATTATTTATGTGTATTGGAGCGTTGGATGACAGAGAGATAACTTCAACTTTTGGAAAAAATTTATTAATGGTTCTTTGTCCCTTTGGTAAACTTTTCTTTTGGTTTAGTTTTTATTCCCGAAATAGTTATATATTCATCTTGAATTTTTTTTTCTTTTTTTTTTTTTTAGTTTTTTTACAACTCACAAAAGAATCTCCGCCAATTGAGATTTCTGGATCTGAAGTTGCATCAACACATTGGGTACCGCTATCAATCTTCTTTAATTCCGAGATTACGCAAAAATGGGAACCGGAATCGATAGATTTATCTTCAAGGTTGGCGCCGAAATCTTGGATATTACAAAATATATTCAAGACGCTTATAGGAAGAATGCATTTTCATTGCATTGGATTGCCTCATGTTGATGTAGATGGAGTTACTACGAGAATGTTAAGGTTATGGGGGTTAACATTACAAATGACGAGCGATTTAATAGATATGATGTATCGACAAACCGAAGAACCGCCAAGAAGACTAGATGCTAAAAGACCAAAATTTGATTATTGGGATGTGAATTTTTTTGTATGGTATTTTTTAAGACATAATCGTAAAAATTATAAAAGGCAAATATCAGAATTAAAAACACGAAGGTATAAGTTTAATTTATTTTCTTTAAACGTATATGTTATATATTTATCGTAACTAAATAACCATTTAAATTGATTGTAGAATAATTTGGGCAGGAGGTTGGCGTGAATATTTTATGGCAGTACAAAAATCTTGTATCATAGCTACTATTATTAGAACTTTAATTGCTTTATTATTAATTAGAAAATTACCAAGTATAATTATTATTATTAGAAAATTTTATAATTTCTAATTGAACTTTATTTATTTAATCGTTACCATATATTCTACTATAGGAAAAAAGGACGCGTTTCAAATATTTAATAGGAACTTACGAACTACACCATAATAGTATTTTTTTTTTGCGTTTTCTCTATAATTTATAACTAAATAGTTGGGCAGAAAAAAATTTATCATTAGCAAGGGGGATAAATGTTCACATCTTTCAATATTCCTATGGTGCCGGGAAATCTACATATATATCGTCAGAAAAATTTTCACCCCGATATTTGTCACGCCCGCGTTTGGTGATGAAAAAAATATTTTTTTCATCACTGCTTATATATCATAGATCACATGGGTGAAAATTTACTTCCGAAGTACCGATTTCACGTGAAATGTTCGCCCAATAAAATCCGAGAATGTTCGTAATACAGACTTTTGAAGATTCATAGACCAATGACAAATCAGATCCTTCCTCAAATTTTCTTGTTTTAATCCGTCATCCGAATATCCGAGCCCGATAGAGGATAATTATCCATGAACGATAACCGGATTCGGATATTCGGGTGACTGATCCGATAAAAATCAACGAAAATAATTCTGTTTCTAGTAAACTTCCTTACACAGAGCGTAAAGAATGTAATCCATTCTCATTCTCTTGAATAGCCGTCTAATTACTTTACGATTGCAAATGCGATCTACGCCTACATTAAAACCTATCATTACTAACAAAAACCCCACATTACGCAAAGTTTAAATTAGGCAATAACAAGTCCTGTAAG